TGAAGAGATCTGAAGCACTAACATCTTCTTCATTGATCCGGCAAACTATGACGGTGATGTCTAGGGGAGGGGTTGTAGAGGTTGCGAAACGACATGGTGAGAAGGGGTTTCAATAGGGCTTAAAGGTCGTGGAAGGGGAAGAGGAAGGGGCAATGAGGCATTGGCAGGGGCAGGGGGTCTTGGGGCAGCATTATAGTGGGCAAGGGGGGTTGAGGTATGGGGGAGGAGAGGGCTGTAGTGATAGGTGGGGTTGGTGGGACTGGTGGCGAAGATGTAACTCTAACCGAAAATTTCCCAAAATAGGAGTAAATGGAGTTTGGAATTGCAGAATAAGACTAATATGTTTTTATTCTTGAAATAGGACTAACATGACAGTTTTAACTGTCATCTTGTAGGTGTGACTGCCAAATAATTGCAGTACAGTGCATTTAACATGACAATATTTATTATAATTAATCACAGTATTTTTCAATCATGACAGTATCTTTCATACATGACAGGAACAACTCCTATTTCGGGGGGAAAATATGGTAGTTCTATTTTGGAATTCCAAAACTCATTTACTCCTATTTAAGGTAATTTCCCAACTCTAAGTGGCTGGTGGTGGTGACTATAACCGACAGATGTCTCTGTGATTGTGGTGATCACTACCTCGAGATTGGTCACTGCCCATCAGTCTTCAGTTGAGGCGTTGGTGATCATTGTGGTTGGAATCATTGGGACCAAGCTGATGATGGTCACTTATTGAAAGGGCAAAACTGTCATTTGCAGTAACGTTTTTGGAAAATTTTAAATTTTGTTCTATTTTTCTTTAACTTTTCATTAATTTAACTAGTACTCTGTATTATTTTTGACAAAATTCCATAAAATATAGGAGAAAATGATTTAAAATCGAGATGCTTCCTTTGGAGTTGGATGAATAACCCTCTTCTCCCTTCCCGGTGAGTGGTGAAATCTGGACGCTTGAATTATGTTGTTTCTTTTATTATAATTTTAGTAATTGTCCAAAATAGAACTACAACTTGCCTAAAAATCACAAATAAGACTACAACCCTAAGTTATTCACAAATAGGACTAAACATTAATTTTCTACCCTAAATACGCCTAAGTGTATTAATTCATAATGACATGTTTTAATTCATAATAAAACGTAAAAAATAATAAAAAACGTAAAAAAAAATCAATAAAATATTTATAAAATAAAATTTTCAAAAAAAATTATGAATTCTCTTTTTAAATATATAAAAACTAGTAAAAACCCATAAAAAATATGGATGCCTTTCCCACCGCCTTAAAGCACTACCACCTCTAACCGGTAAAAAAATGCCATTTTTCAGAAAATGCCACGAAAATGGCATTACTACTCTTGATAATGGCAAAATTTTTATGGAAACTGGCATAGATATGGCATTACTAATGCACGTTAGCATTTTTTTCTTCACTGATCAGAGCATACCGGGGCGGTGATGGGCTCCAATTTTGGGCTAAGACAAGAACCAGTATCAGAGCATATCGGCCGATACCAGGCTTCAATTTTCCAGAACCGGTATCGCCCGGGCCCTGCACGGCCTGAACTGGGTCCATCCCTAGTCCTACTAGGGAATTTGAAACAATGTAATCCTATTTGTCATTGTGGGCTACCTTTTACTCCTACTCTCCTAGTTAGGCAATTCTCTCTTTTAATTTTCATTATAGTAGCGTCTGCAACATTGTTGTTAGTGGAGTCTGCCACATTGCCAGATTGGCGCGATGGGCCACTCTTATGCGTGATTACAACTCTGAGTCTCATCCTAGTGTAGCATTTGATATGACAATTTTGCCAAAAAAGTGGTTACACCATGTTTAAATCCTTTATTTTCTTTAAAGTGGTATAACTTTTTTATTTGTACTCCAAATTGTTACAAAAGATATATCAAAATTCATAATTTTTTTTATCTTTCACATGACATCAATATTGCATATATAAAAATAAAATAAAAAAGTAAGCACTTTAAAAAGACTTTAGGTTTTTAAAGTATTGTAACTTTTTTATTTGTATTCTGATTGTTACAAACAATATATCAAAATTTATAACTTTTTATTGTCTTTCATATGACATCAATATTACATATATAAAAATAAAAAAAATAATTAAACACTTTAAAAAGTCTTTAGTTTTTTAGAGTGTTATAACTTTTTATTCGTACTTTGAATGTTACAAAAAATATTATTAAAAATATATAGATATAAGTTGTTATGAACTTTGATATATAATTTGTAACCTGCGGAGTAAGAATAAAAAAGTTACAACATTGTAAAAAACTAAAGTCTTTTTAATGTTCTTAATTATTTTATATTTTAAATATGAAATATTGGTGTCATATGGAAGGCAATAAAAAGTTATAAATTTTGATATATTTTTTGTAAGATTCAAAGTACAAATAAAAAAGTTATAACAATGTAAAAACTAAAGTCTTTTTAAAGTGCTTGTTTATTTTTTATTTGTATATATAAAATATTGGTGTTATATTAAAGACAATAAAAAGTTACGAATTTTGTTAATTTTTTTGTAACATTCAGAGTACGAATAAAAAAGTTACAACAGTGTAAAAACTAAAATCTTTTTGAGTTATGAAAGTTCTTAATTGTTTTTTTATTTTTATATATGTAATATTGGTGTTACATGAAAGATAATAAAAAATTTTAAATTTTGATATATGGTTTGTAACAATTAGCTTATAACATAATTGAGGGCAGTTCATATACATAGCTCCTGAAGAGAAGCCTCGTGCGGACAACACCATCAGAGAGTCTTCTCGGTGACATTTTTAGATGAAATTTTTTTAACATGTTCTCCACCAAGTGTAGTTTATCCATATCAAATTTCAGCTCAAAATGCAATCGGGAAAACAGTTAAATAAATTCTGGAAACATACGGCACATTCTGCGCACATATAATTTGCAGTATGTTTCCAGAATTTATTTGATTGCCTTACCGATCGAATTTTGAGCTGAAATTTGGTATGAATAAACTAGACATGATGAGGAACATGCTCAAAAAAATGTCATTAACAAATTCCACCGGGAAGACCCTCTGATGGTCTTGTCCGCACGGAGCTGCTCTTCAGGAGCTCTTGATAGGAACGGGACTATTATTGTATTGTTATACAGAACTACGAAGTATGTAACATTTGCCAAAGCCACTTCAAGTGGGCGCTTCTCTTAACCTCCGTTTGTCCCACCGGTATTTTGGGAATACTTTTAACCGAACACTAACTTAGTAATTATTTTTTTGGCAAAATTCATACCAATAATTCATACTTTGAGCAGTTCTACAATAATAGTCCATACCGAAGATGTCTATATAAATAATGCATACTCATAAACAGTTAAACACGTCTAATAGATAGATTAGAGTAATCGTTTTGATATTTAATACGGAGTATATAAGGATACAATATTGACTTTGTTCACCATTGTCATAAATTTGAGTTTAGTGTTTTTTATATCATTAATTATTTTCTTGAAGGATAATAATCTATCTATGAAGGTTTAATCTATCTATATAGACGCATTTATGAGTTTGAATTATTTGTATTGACTTTTTTTTAGAAATTATTATTATAGAACCACCAAAAGTACGGATTATTAGTATGAACATCACCTTATTTTTTATCTGACATTATTTCGGGAGAAAACTCAATCTTACACCCCATTGCAATTGAAAATCTTTTGACTTTCACAAAATGTTTTGAATTGAGGTATAATATCGCCCAGAAACTGAGGTGCAAAGTCAAATTCCGCCAAGATTATACTATAAAATTATTTCATGCCTCAAGGTAAAATTTAAAAAGATGTTTTGTTTAAAAAAATTACTAATAGTCAGCCAAATATAATAATGGCCAAAATCACGCTTTTAAGAATTGTAAAATTCAAAATATTGCAACTAAATAAGAACCTATATAATATTATAGTATATAAACTACTTGTTTAGTGGTATGACAATTTCCAGAAAAATATGCTTCTAAAATATACTACATCTGTCTCGTTGGAAAGTTTCCATAGCAAAATGACACAATTATTTGACAATAATTAAATAAAGTACTTCGAGTATATTTTGAGAAATAATTTTAATAGGTATATATTATAATGTAGTTGGTATTGATAACTGTGATATTATAAATGTATTGTTTTTAATATTTAATGATTAATTTGTCACTTAAGAGTATTAATTGTTTTCTAAAATAGAAATGAGAACCTTTATATGGGACGTACAAAAAAGGAAAGTGAGAACTGAGAAGCTTCTAATGGGACGAGAAAGTATAGAGTATTTGCTTTAGACTAACTAACTAGAGATGCTTATGCAAAATCAACGTCCCCTTCCCTTCTAAATCAACTGACCAAACAATCCCCAAAGGAGCATCACCCGTGGGATTATTACAAGAGAATACAACATCCAGATTCCAGGCTATCCAGCCAGTCGACACCATCGAGTCAATTTCAATGTTTTAAGGCAAAAGGAAAAAAGTGCAGTCGAGCTATGGCTGGACTCGGGCCGGTTCGGGCCCGGTTCGGGCCTGGGCCCGGCCGGGCCTCGGGCCAGAAAACTAGGGCCCGGGCCCGAACCGCCGGTGGGCGGTTCCGGTTCCGGTTCCGGGCCAAACCGGGCCGGGCCGGGCCGGGCCGAACCGGCCCACTTAATTTTTTTTTTTTTTTTGGTCTCCTATTTAATCCCCTACCCCTCCCCCTCAACCCCAAACCATCCCAAACCACCTCAAATGGCCCAAAATACCTAATCCAACCTAAAACTTAAAAAAATTTCAAAAAAAAAAAAAAAAAAATTAAAATCCGGCCCGGACCGGGCCCGAACCGGCCGGGCCGGTTCACCAAAACCTGGGCCCGGGCCCGAACCGCCCAGCAGCCGGGCCGGGCCGAACCGAACCGGTGGACCCACCGGGCCCCGGGCCGGGCCGGGCCTAACAGTAACCGGGCCGGGCCGCCCGGCCCGAGTCCAGCACTAAGTCGAGCTAAAAATTGAACTACGGGTAATGGATTGTTGAAATGGACATTACCAAACACTTTTCCTTTCAGCAAATACAGCCTTTCGGGCAAACAACAGTTGCTTAAATACCAAACTCAATAAAGTTTATTGCAAGAATATATTACCTATAACCAAGTGTGTGTACAGAACCCTGAAAAAGTAGGGAAAGTGTGTGATTATATTCTGTATCCGGGGTAGATATTATGAAGGACAGTAGCAGAATAATTTTTGCATGAGATGTCCAATAAAAATGTATCCCCTTACCCTTATACGGAGTATTGTATAGCAAAAAATCATGGTGAAAGGGGTAAAATGGGCCAAGGGTAAGAAGATCCCCAAAAGAAAGGGAAATTATGTCCACAAAAAGCTCTACAATGAATGGAGCAGAGAATCAGTTCTGCCCTTTGGTCAGTCTTGCATTTCGTCTAGAATGGATCTCAGCTGCCCAACTTTTTCCTATTTCAGTTTGAATTTTCCCTGCACCTCAATGAATAGATAAAGCATAAGGCACACAAACAACTTTTTAGCAAGTAGTCTATCTCTCTTTCAAAGAATAACTGCCGTTTAAGGGTTGGTACACATACAAAAGTAATACATGTTTTGACATTATGATATGATGATGATGATGACTACAATGATCTCAATATCTCTTTAATGCTTTATATATATGCAAAGAAAAGGTTCAGGGAATGTAATAAGTTTCACAATAATACCCTTTTTCGAGTATAAAAGATCAAACAGAAGACCACCACTGCAGGTGCATTGCAAAAAAAGGGCTCAATCACCTGCAATTGAGAGGAAGAATTCATCGAGTTCTTTCCCATGTTCTGCAGAAACATTTTTAACATGGAAAAAGGAAAAGGTTAGTTCTGTCACGACGAAAAAAGAAGTCATGTTTGTAATGTTGACTTCAATAATACAAATATGACTCTTTGGGGGGATGAATGTAGGACATCTAACATCTTAAGTTCGCTAACTGTTAAAGCACATAAATAATTCAAAAAATGCAATTGAACATAGAGGGTAGCACATTTTGAGAGTGGAAAATAAAGCCAGCTTGAAGTTGAGAATTACCAATTTCATATTCCAGTGCCTGCAGAATCAATTCGACCTGGAGAGGCATAGAATTGTCAAATATCTCTTCTGATGCAAGAAGAACGTCAATGACTTGCCAGAACTTGAACAAGAAAATCACCAAAATTTTTAAGTAGACCCATATGACTCCCTTATGGAGTCATATGGGGTATTGTGGCATATTAATATTCACCCATTTTTTAGTGGGGTCTCCCACTTAGAAAATGAGTGGTAATTAATATGCCACATTACCCACATGACTCCATAAGGGAGTCATATGGGTCTCCATAAAGCTTCTCAAAAAATTACTAGTACAAATTGTGCATGCCAACATGGGGGGAAACACTAAAAATGAAGAAACAAAAGCAACGGTTGAGAAGATTCAACTACTTTGGGGTGTTAGGGTGAAAGTCCATTTGACAAGAGATTGCCTATTCAAATGGTCCAATATAGGAAGTGAGATGTTACGTAACTATCAATTAATAGATAAAAATGACAAAAAATGTAACCAGTTGGTTCCTTTTATATCGTGGAGTTAGAGCAGGAAGATATAAAGTTGAACGAACATCTTGTGTAGAATGTGTGCTTAAAATAGGATACCGGCATTCAATATTCTCCCAAAAAGAAATGAATAACAAAAAGCTGAGAAATATGAGAGAATATTAAATACAATAATAATAAGAGTAGAGTAGTATATGGAAATATTTTTTGCTTAACAGTTACCTAAATAACAGTTCACAAGTTTTAGAACCAAAGGTAATACAATAATCCCTTTGCCCTAAAATAAACTTCCTACTCTCCTTTTTTGTTGTCACAAAATGAACTAATTTCTTTTCAACCACATTATCTTACTTTCTAAATTCTAGTGCCAGAAGAAATTGGGAGTAATGCACTGATGCTGATGTGCAGCATACAAAAGAATACAATGGCAAAAAGATAGATAAACTTAAACACGAGAATAACATCACTGAGACGTTGATTAAGGTCATTTTAGATTATACCGTTGTAGCTTTGTTATTTGAGAAACGTGTTTTCTTCGAAGTAATGAATTACACATTTTTTGAAGTTGTTAAAATGATTCTAAAACAAAACATTCATGAAAATGCATATAACTCTAGCAAATGAGACTGCGTTTTTTATACAAAATATGATCCAAAAATTTTTGAAAGCAGTGGCATAACCAGGAGGGTATATCAGGCTAGGTTGGTACAAAGAAGTTCTCCAGATAACTTCTAACACAATCGTTTTACACATAAATTCAAAGCATTTTTCAAATTTGGGGTGGGCCTGGGCTTAGTATGCCCCCTGCTACACCCCTGTTTGAAAGGGAACCTGCCTGAAATACAAAAAACACTTCCCTAAAGAGTTTCTATGCATTATAACTCAATTATAGATAAGAAACTTCTTATAGTGTTCATAGTCTTCATACATAAATAATCAGTATCAATAAACACAACAAAATACTTCAGTAAACCATGTCAAAAACAAAATATGACAGCGAATACAGACCTTATCAAAATCTTTTACAAGATTGGCCTCTAAGGAAGCATTGTTTTCATATTCAGCCCAGAGTTCCTGAATCTCTTCAGCTGGAGACATTAAATGGATGGACGTAAACTTCCTTACCCAAAAGTAATGTTTATTGGTCATTTTCTCCACAAAAGAAAAGAGGTTTAAGATACGGAGTACCTCTCATTCCTCCACCAAGAACTTTGCACATTTCATTCAGTGCAGCTTGCTCTCTTCTGCTTTTTTCTTCCTTAGGCACACCATCAGATGGAGTTATATCTCCAACAATTGCTATATAAATAATAAATGAAAATAAGCTCAGGCTCTCAGAGAAACATTTAAAATTGCAGAAAAAGAAAGTTTAAGAGCATAAACTTTTACTAAACCTAAACACTATTTTCCATTGAAAGAAAATTTTGAAAAATAGGATAAACATAAAAGCCACGGAATAAATAACTATCTATACATCACGTATTTGGAAAACAATTCTCACGTTCTATGATTTGTTTTTGTGTCAAACCATTATAGAATAATATATGTGCATGCTAAACATAGGGTACGGAAATAACAGGTATAATAGAAAGAAATACCTTCTGCAATATCATGAATAATGGCTATTTTAATACACCTGTTATGTAAATTGAGAAACAAAGCAATTATCATTACCTCAACCAATATATAAAAATAACCAATGGAAGTATGGTAAAGCTTGGTGACTAATGGTTTTATTCAATAACCACCTTTACTTTGCATGACTCAAAGGATAGTTGCCAACATGATAAAATTTTGAATATGAATAGAGAAGTTTAAAGAGAAGCAACCATGACTTTCATCAACTAAAATGGAGTCCTACAGTCAACCTTTCCCTGTTGACTCCAGGAAGATCGCCAGCAATCAAAGACATTAGGGCCATGCGGTACATGTGATCAGCAATGGACTCAGGACCTTGGATCCCATGATTTATCCATCCTTTCCTTTTTGTAGTCTACCATGAAAAAAAAGGAAAAAATATAACTCCTTTTTTTGAGGAACTACAATGGTTTATCATGTTCTAAGAACCAAACACTTCCATTGTTTTCTGAAAGCTTGTCTCAATGTTTAGCTTTTAGAACATGCTCAAGATGAAGTAATGCAGCCCATTTCTCTTTACATGTTAAACATGCACTTTATTTAAAAAAGTTCCCTCTTTAAAATGTTAAATGACTAATATATAATACATGGTGTATTCAGTTCATTTAAAAGAGATTATTTGATTTGACATCATTCATACTTCATACTTATTTTAGTAATAATCAGCTATATGACTTTTGAAATTTTAGCAAGGTACAACTTGACATTAACCTTGAATCATACTCATTAATTCATTTATTATTTACTGGTTTAACTATCAACTATGTTTATCATATGGGTTCTTTTACTTATGTTTGCTGCATTATATGATGTTTCTGTTTCCCTAGTTTTCTATTTCTATTTTCCACCTATATGATTTTATTTTCAATTTCTTTTCTATCTTTTCTCCCTCTCTATTTTTCATTAATTTCATTTATCTTTTATCTTCTTTATCTTTCTATGTTCCTGTGTTATTTTGTCTTTTATCTTTCTAATGTTCTTTTATCTTTTATCTATCTTAATCTTATGTTCTTATATTGTTGTAAATTTGTAATCTTATATTTATTTTTATCTTATCCATTTATCTTACCTTATCTTTTTGTGTTTCTTATCTTTCTTCTCTTTTTGGCTCTGATTATCATGGATCAATTCATGTTAGCCGATCCCAAAATCTTTTGGAAATAAGGCTTGAATGTTGTTGTTGTATGTTTTTATTTTCAACAAGTTGTCAATAAGATGTTTTTCTGTGCATTGTTTTCTAGTTTTACTATTCTCTATTATTTAATAATTTGGAAATCATTTATTCCTAACACATGTGTCCAATATCATATGTGTGGTGTCAAGGACTTGAGGCCACCTGCGGGGCAGCGGTCAAGGGTAGTTGCACTGTTTGATCATGGTGATGATGATCAGCAGCGCCAGTGGAGATTCATGCCACCAGTAGTGCTAAGCATAAATAATTGTTTCTTAATTTTATCAAGAACAAAAGATAAAGGAAAGCAGTTTTCTGTTTCTAAATTTAAAGCTGGTGAAGAACAATGTTTTCTGTATTTTGAATTTTAAAAACAGAAAAACTAAACATGATTTTTTTCTGAATTCAAATTGCCATTGCTAAACAGGCCAGGACATTTGTTGGGACGGATAGTATTTACTTATGTACAGTATTAATTATAGATTCAAAGAAATGATATGCCAAGCATCTGATGATGTGACATGGAATAATCACTTTCCATTTGGCTTGATCATTGATCAACAGCCCTAAGGCAAGTAAAGATGCAATGTTTCAACAAGAACATCTGAATAGTGAATGCCACACTCTTTCACATCATGATTCCTTCTGTCAATAATGCTATAACAACATACAGTTTCGAGAATATATTTCAAGAATAGTTTCAAGAATATATTTCACAATAACGTATCTAATTTCCTCAAATCTTTTCCCATTCACACAACATTTATACCACAAACAAGAAAAAAGTGAAATTTGCTTTAACAAACAGTAATATCCCATAAAAAAAATCTTAGTCATATATACCTTGAGGCTATGGCACAGCGTAAGAAAATCAATGGAATTAGAAGGAGAAGGCAAAGCTCCGGCACCGTTGGAATCATAACTCAAAGAGGTTGGGCTTCCTGACTCAGATCCGGTTCCAGCTTCACTCGAGCCGGTATTCACGGAGTCGGAGTTGGGAATTACGGCACGAATGGAAACGAGCCTCGCGCATTGGGGCCGAGAATTGAAAAATAAGTATAGCTGCTTCGATGAAATTTGATTGGAATGATGGCGGGGAGTTCGACAAGAATGGGAGGGCGACAGAGAAAGGGAGGCAAAACTGCGTTTAGCAGCCATTGTCGCAGAGAAGAGAGGTTTTGATTTGATGTGTCGTCGGATTGTAGGCTTTCAGGTGAGGAGGGAGAGTTCGCCGCCGGTGGAAGAAGACATGGGGCCCTTAGTCTGGATCTTCGTTTCGGTCATTCAGTCAGTATTGCCCCGTAGTTCATTATGGTCAGAGTTGCTGACCTTGGAACGAATTTTTAACCAAAATTATGCAAAAGAAAAATGTATTTACCCGAGTTGAGTTAAAAGTTCTTACCAAAATACCGTTGATTGGAACTATGGTTAAAGAAAGCTGCCAAATGAAATGTCGACTTTCTTTAAAACTAGATTTTAACCCGTGCTTTGCACGGGATGCTTTCAATAACCATTGAATAATTAGAAAAAAAAAAACTATCCCTGTTATTTTTTTTTTTTGCAAAAGTTTAAGAGATGTTCACAAAATTATAATTTTTTAAAGAATAACCATTAATGTCCCCCAAACTCCACTATAACTAATATGGAGTACTTTTTCAGTTAACTAATGTTTTTCAAGTTCGGTTAAACTCTGTTACTTACACTATAAACGCAAAATCTCAATGCTAGTTTTTTTCAACTTAGTTAATTGATTTATGGCTTTTCGTCATCAGTATAAAAAAACATTCTATGACAACCGGATCTTTATTACTTCTTAAGTTACCGATGTGGGACTTCAACATCCTTTCTTACGAACAGACATTTCATCTGAATTGTGTTGTCGTTCATTATTTTTGTCAATTCGTCACAATCATCTTTTATAATTGTATCATCATTTTTCATAAAAGACTTGCGCTATGGTTATGAATTGATTTGGATCTGATATTGTGCTAATATCTGGTGTTTCATCCTAAAAGTTCAATCTGATAGAAATTGAGAATCTTAATATACGTAGTAGCATTTTATTACTACTTAAGTTATTGATGTGAGACTTCAACATTCTAATATGTAACTATTTGATTGAACCAAAGTCTCGTTTAATCTTTTTATAATTTGGTGATACGTGAAATAACATTTTGGATGCGCAAAAGCACTTGTGACTTTCATAATAGAGAATATTAATAATTGCAACAAATAATTACTCTTTCCTCCTTTCCTCCGAAATTTCTACTTTTCATAAGAAATTAAGTTGATTGATTATAATATAAATGGGGGTAGGGGACGGGAGCAAAACAACATTTGATCGAATGAAAGCCTTCTAATGTGAACAAATTGGTCGAACAAAAATATATGGATTTTTTTTAAAATTATATGGAAAGAAATTGAGTGAACTCTTCATTAATTAGTCATGTCATCAACCTTTCGTTTAATCACCCCAACATATCTATAGTATTTGTTTGATAGAATGATAGGTAATGTCAACCTTGATTATGGTGATATTCAAACTTATGAATTCATTATGGAAGGTAAGAATGGGGAAGAACTAAACAATCACCATAAGTTAAATGCTTAAATAACATATGATAATTCACATGAAGTGCTGATGACTACAATTTTGAGAGATGGCTCAATTTTATCCGTCTTAACCAAAAGAAATGTACTTTACACTTGATATGAAGCAGCCTATGGCCATGTATCTTGTCTCCTTCTACCTGGTGTTCCAGCAACCTTTTGAATTGCAATGTCAATCCAAGAAATTAAGAAACATGTGTGATCCTCAATAGATGCAAGACGCACTAACTGCTGTAAAAAAAAAGTGAAGACATAAACATATGAAAATTCACCAAAATGAACACAAATAGATAGAGTTTATTAGATTGAGTAGAGTTTTAAAGTGCACATATTACAAATCTTGTTTAGAGTCAATTAAGATCAATTGTTTAAAGTGCACATATTCAGTCCTTTCTCTCAATTTGAAAACGAATGTGTTATATAATACTTTTTCAGCCCCAAGAATGTGAGGGTTTCCAAGCTTTGAACTCAATGAATTCTGATGAGGGAAAGATATGAGAAAAGATGAAAAGGAAAAGTCACCTAATTTCTGCAAAGTGTCATTCCTACTTCACTTTAAAATCGTTTGTCTTGAAATCAAGAAGAGTTATAGGGAGTGTTTGCAATTGCTTCAACTTTAAAAAAGTGTTTTTAAAGTGATTTTGGGGAAAACGATTAATAGTAGAGATTGGGTCATCAATATTACTTATTAAAAGGGTTTGGACAAATATAGGCTCCCTTTTAAACAATTCCGAAACAGCGACCACCCGTGTGTCCATTCACTAACTCTTAGGATCAAAATGTCTAAAATACCCCTCCCTAATTAATACACCGTATGTCATAACTAATAGAACAGTAGAACTCCGTACTACAGTTCTACGTATGAATCCCTCTTCGAAAATGCTCCAGGCAAGGACCATCAGGGTTGACTTTCATATTTTTCTTCCCATTTACATTTGTCTAGTATCGATTTATAATTATCAGTTATAAATACACATTCAATCACTTACCGTTACACTTTTCACCTATTACAATTTTCCACATGAACAGTTACAATTACCCACCGGATCAATTACAGTTACCCACCGCCAGTTACAATTACCAGATCCGACCAGTTACAGTTATCTAGACCTAAGCAGTTACAGTTATCCGACCCCACTAGTTATAGTTACTTGCTCTGACCAGTTACAGTTACTAGATCCGACCAGTTACAATTATCTGACCCGACCAGTTACAGTTACCTGACTCAACCAGTTACAGTCAATGTTCTAAAAGGCGCTAGGCGCTAGTCGGGCGCCAGCCCAGCGCCTAGCGCCTAGGCGCCTAGGCGGGCGCCTAGGCGGGAACTAGTCGGATACAAAGAATGCATTTTTATCTATATTTTTGCATAAATATGATAAGTAATATTGTGTTTTTGTGTGTATAAAATACATATATACATATACATTAACAAATATGAATGATAGAATTATAACATTTAATCATACGCAGTATATGATAACCAATCACTTGACTTCATTATGTTATAAATATAAAATTTAGGTTTATGGACAAACATATACTTCGTATAGTTTTATCTTAATTTACAACTTCATTTCTTTATATACATGGCTAATGTTCGGTGAATCTAGGTGGCCGATTAGGCGCTCTAGGCGGGCAACTGGGCGCCATAGGCAGCCGACTAATTCACCTAGGCGGCAAATAAATTAGTCGGAGCGCCTAGACGAAAATCGGGGTGCCCGGCCACCGCCTAGTGCCTAGGCGGGGACTAGCCAGACGCCTAGAATAATTTTTAGAACAGAGGTTACAGTTATCCGATCTCACGAGTTACAGTTACCTGACCCGATCAGTTACAGTTACCTAACACAACCAGTTACAGTTACTTGACTCGATCGGTTACAATTATCGACCCCATTTGTTAAAATTATATGACCCGACAAGTTTCAATTACCCGATCCAACCATAAAAAATTATCGGACACAACGAGTTACAATTACCATATTTTACGAGTTACAATCACCACTGCCAACCACCACCGCTGGCCACACTGCCGGCCACCATTGTCATTGATCCGCTGCCGCACTCACTCTGGCGGCCAACATCCCCAACCCCCAAACACCAGCCCCCATACGGTGAGAGCAACCTTCTTCCCCGTTGCACCCACCATCTGCCCATTGTCACCGCCAAGCCCACCACCGCCTGGCCCGTCCACCGCTGCCCTGACCGGGACCATCGACGCCCGGATTGTGACCACGCCGGCTGTGACCACCCGCCTCTCCACCATCGTCCACAGTGCAAGCCGACCCTCATCCCCACCACCCACCATCCCTAGCCCCCTCCCCCAGCCTCCCCTGCACCTGCCCCAAGCCTACCACGGTCCCAACAACCTCGACACCCGCCCCAGAATGCCTACAACCCTACCCACCGCACCACAACCACTATAAATAATCTCTGCAAGTCTGCAACCTATGTTTAAAAAACCGATCCGACCCGGCCGGGTTGACCCAGAACCCGGTGACCCGGACAAAAAAAACGGTTCGGTTTTTTTTAAAACCCGGAAATGGTCAAAAACCGGAAAAACTCGGCTGACCCGGGAAAACCCGGTCAAGACCCGGACCCAAGAAACCCGAAAAACCAGGGTTTTTGGGTGTTTTTACCAAAAAAAGTAATTTCTTTTTTTATTTTTAATGCATTTTTTATACCAATAAAATTGCAATTTCAATACCTTAAAAAGAAAAACTACGTAATATATTTATATATTTATTTAATAATGAACATCATGCCAAATTATAATATAGATATACAATAAAAATAAAAATATCGTTATATATTTTTATAAGATCAAAATATGCATTGAAATATTATAAGAGTGTATTAAATGCTTAATAAGTAGTATTGTTAGTTGATTATTATGAATAATAACTAATTTTTATTATAATTTTATATATAATTATATGTTTACTATTATTATATAGACGTATAATCATTGACCGGTTTTCCGGCGTTGACCGGGTTAACCCACCGGGTCCGGGCTGACCCGTGACCCAGTCATGTGGCCGGGTCACTCTCCGGTCCGGTTTTTACAACATAGTCTGCAACCACTAATCCACCCCTAGTTGCAACCAGATCTGCAGGGCAGTAGACATCACCACAATAGCCGCAAAATTAACATTTGTTGTCACTGGATCTGTCGGAATACTCGTCGCCTATCGTCATCCCCATCGCTCTGTTCGCAGATGAAGGAGAAACGACCTGTCATCTCCAATTCGTATTTGATCGGCTCATAGACAAGGAGAAGAAGAATGGGCGGCAGCGGAATGCGAGGGGCGAGAGCATATGAGTGATGACAATTGCGGCTGAACCAGTGACAGCACGAGGGGTAACAGTATGGAGTAGTGCGGCCGTTGCTTTTAATTGGTGGTTGTGCTTTCCTATGGGTGGCTGCAGTCTGGGACAGAAGACGAAGAAGCATCGTTGCGTTAATCGGGAAGCAGGGTAATAAGCAAGTGAATTCTTTTTTTTTTTAAAGGGCAGCTTAGTCTATTTTCTTGTAGTAAAGTCTTATTTTTGTCCAAAAGTACGAGCTGCTACATTTATGTCTTTAAGTACCGCACTAGTGCTATTCCAGTCATTTTTTCTTAATAGTAAAAGTTGGTAGTGTTTGAGAAAAAAGTGATTTTGAACTTCAAAAAATACCTTTCTATCTGCTTCTAGTTTTTAGCTTTTAAGTGATTAATTTAAGCAGAAGCTGTCATTTGAAAACAATCTTTTCAGCTTTTTTAAAGCCAAAAG